TAGTTTCCGGTCCACAGGATACCTATCTATCATTATAGTTTCCGGTTAACAAGATACCTATCTATCATTATAGTTTCCGGTTCACAAGATACCTATCTATCATTATAGTTTCCGGTCCACAGGATACCTATCTATCATTATAGTTTCCGGTCCACAAGATACCTATCTATCATTATAGTTTCCTCTCAACAAGATACGTATCTATCATTATAGTTTCTTCTCCACAGGATACGTATCTATCATTATAGTTCCCTGTCCACAAGATACCTATCTATCATTATAGTTTCCTCTCAACAAGATACGTATCTATCATTATAGTTTCTTCTCCACAGGATACGTATCTATCATTATAGTTCCCTGTCCACAAGATACCTATCTATCATTATAGTTTCCGGTCCACAAGATACCTATCTATCATTATAGTTTCCCCTCCACAAGATACCTATCTATCATTATAGTTTCTTCTCCACAGGATACGTATCTATCATTATAGTTTCTTCTCCACAGGATACGTATCTATCATTATAGTTTCCTCTCAACAAGATACGTATCTATCATTATAGTTTCTTCTCCACAGGATACGTATCTATCATTATAGTTCCCTGTCCACAAGATACCTATCTATCATTATAGTTTCCTCTCAACAAGATACGTATCTATCATTATAGTTTCTTCTCCACAGGATACGTATCTATCATTATAGTTCCCTGTCCACAAGATACCTATCTATCATTATAGTTTCCGGTCCACAAGATACCTATCTATCATTATAGTTTCCCCTCCACAAGATACCTATCTATCATTATAGTTTCTTCTCCACAGGATACGTATCTATCATTATAGTTTCTTCTCCACAGGATACGTATCTATCATTATAGTTTCCGCTCCACAGGATACCTATCTATCATTATAGTTTCCGGTCCACAAGATACCTATCTATCATTATAGTTTCCGGTCCACATGATACATTTATATCATTATAGATTCAAGTCGACAGGATACTATCTGTTGTCTTAGTGTCCTGTCCACAGGATACGTATCTATCATTGTAGTTTCCGGTCCACAAGATACCTATCTATCATTATAGTTTCCCCTCCACAGGATACCTATCTATCATTATAGTTTCCTGTCCACAAGATACCTATCTATCATTATAGTTTCCTGTCCACAGGATACCTATCTATCATTATAGTTTCCGGTCCACAGGATACCTATCTATTATTATAGTTTCCTGTCCACAAGATACCTATCTATCATTATAGTTTCCCCTCCACAGGATACCTATCTATCATTATAGTTTCCTGTCCACAAGATACCTATCTATCATTATAGTTTCCTGTCCACAGGATACCTATCTATCATTATAGTTTCCGGTCCACAGGATACCTATCTATCATTATAGTTTCCTGTCCACAGGATACCTATCTATCATTATAGTTTCCGGTCCACAGGATACCTATCTATTATTATAGTTTCCGGTCCACAAGATACCTATCTATCATTATAGTTTCCCCTCCACAGGATACCTATCTATCATTATAGTTTCCTGTCCACAAGATACCTATCTATCATTATAGTTTCCGGTCCACAGGATACCTATCTATCATTATAGTTTCCTGTCCACAAGATACATATCTATCATTATAGTTTCCTGTCCACAAGATACGTATCTATCATTATAGTTTCCGGTCCACAGGATACCTATCTATCATTATAGTTTCCTGTCCACAAGATACCTATCTATCATTATAGTTTCCGGTCCACAGGATACCTATCTATTATTATAGTTTCCGGTCCACAAGATACCTATCTATCATTATAGTTTCCCCTCCACAGGATACCTATCTATCATTATAGTTTCCTGTCCACAAGATACCTATCTATCATTATAGTTTCCGGTTAACAAGATACCTATCTATCATTATAGTTTCTTCTCCACAGGATACGTATCTATCATTATAGTTTCCGGTCCACAGGATACCTATCTATCATTATAGTTTCCTGTCCACAAGATACCTATCTATCATTATAGTTTCCCCTCCACAGGATACCTATCTATCATTATAGTTTCCTGTCCACAAGATACCTATCTATCATTATAGTTTCCGGTCCACAGGATACCTATCTATTATTATAGTTTCCGGTCCACAAGATACCTATCTATCATTATAGTTTCCCCTCCACAGGATACCTATCTATCATTATAGTTTCCTGTCCACAAGATACCTATCTATCATTATAGTTTCCGGTTAACAAGATACCTATCTATCATTATAGTTTCCTGTCCACAAGATACCTATCTATCATTATAGTTTCTTCTCCACAGGATACATATCTATCATTATAGTTTCCTGTCCACAAGATACATATCTATCATTATAGTTTCCTGTCCACAAGATACCTATCTATCATTATAGTTTCCGGTTCACAAGATACCTATCTATCATTATAGTTTCCTGTCCACAAGATACATATCTATCATTATAGTTTCCTGTCCACAAGATACCTATCTATCATTATAGTTTCCCCTCCACAAGATACATATCTATCATTATAGTTTCCTGTCCACAGGATACATATCTATCATTATAGTTTCCTGTCCACAAGATACATATCTATCATTATAGTTTCCTGTCCACAAGATACCTATCTATCATTATAGTTTCCTGTCCACAAGATACCTATCTATCATTATAGTTTCTTCTCCACAGGATACCTATCTATCATTATAGTTTCCTGTCCACAAGATACGTATCTATCATTATAGTTTCCTGTCCACAAGATACCTATCTATCATTATAGTTTCCTGTCCACAAGATACCTATCTATCATTATAGTTTCTTCTCCACAGGATACCTATCTATCATTATAGTTTCCTGTCCACAAGATACGTATCTATCATTATAGTTTCCTCTCAACAGGATACCTATCTATCATTATAGTTTCCTGTCCACAAGATACCTATCTATCATTATAGTTTCCTGTCCACAAGATACATATCTATCATTATAGTTTCCTGTCCACAAGATACCTATCTATCATTATAGTTTCCCCTCCACAAGATACATATCTATCATTATAGTTTCCTGTCCACAGGATACATATCTATCATTATAGTTTCCTGTCCACAAGATACATATCTATCATTATAGTTTCCTGTCCACAAGATACATATCTATCATTATAGTTTCCTGTCCACAAGATACCTATCTATCATTATAGTTTCCGGTTAACAAGATACCCATCTATCATTATAGTTTCCTCTCAACAGGATACCTATCTATCATTATAGTTTCCTGTCCACAAGATACCTATCTATCATTATAGTTTCCTGTCCACAAGATACCTATCTATCATTATAGTTTCCGGTTAACAAGATACCTATCTATCATTATAGTTTCCTGTCCACAAGATACCTATCTATCATTATAGTTTCCTGTCCACAAGATACCTATCTATCATTATAGTTTCCTGTCCACAAGATACCTATCTATCATTATAGTTTCCTCTCAACAAGATACATATCTATCATTATAGATTCCTGTCCACAAGATACGTATCTATCATTATAGTTTCTTCTCCACAGGATACGTATCTATCATTATAGTTTCCTGTCCACAAGATACCTATCTATCATTATAGTTTCCTGTCCACAAGATACCTATCTATCATTATAGTTTCCTGTCCACAAGATACCTATCTATCATTATAGTTTCCTGTCCACAAGATACATATCTATCATTATAGTTTCCGGTCCACAAGATACCTATCTATCATTATAGTTTCCTCTCAACAGGATACCTATCTATCATTATAGTTTCCTGTCCACAAGATACCTATCTATCATTATAGTTTCCTGTCCACAAGATACCTATCTATCATTATAGTTTCCTGTCCACAAGATACCTATCTATCATTATAGTTTCCTGTCCACAAGATACCTATCTATCATTATAGTTTCCTGTCCACAAGATACCTATCTATCATTATAGTTTCCTGTCCACAAGATACCTATCTATCATTATAGTTTCCTGTCCACAAGATACCTATCTATCATTATAGTTTCCTGTCCACAAGATACCTATCTATCATTATAGTTTCCGGTCCACAAGATACCTATCTATCATTATAGTTTCCTGTCCACAAGATACGTATCTATCATTATAGTTTCCTGTCCACAGGATACCTATCTATCATTATAGTTTCCTGTCCACAAGATACCTATCTATCATTATAGTTTCCTGTCCACAAGATACCTATCTATCATTATAGTTTCCTGTCCACAAGATACGTATCTATCATTATAGTTTCCTGTCCACAAGATACCTATCTATCATTATAGTTTCCCCTCCACAAGATACCTATCTATCATTATAGTTTCCTGTCCACAAGATACCTATCTATCATTATAGTTTCCTGTCCACAAGATACCTATCTATCATTATAGTTTCCTGTCCACAAGATACCTATCTATCATTATAGTTTCCCCTCCACAAGATACCTATCTATCATTATAGTTTCCTGTCCACAGGATACCTATCTATCATTATAGTTTCCTGTCCACAAGATACCTATCTATCATTATAGTTTCCTGTCCACAAGATACCTATCTATCATTATAGTTTCCTGTCCACAAGATACCTATCTATCATTATAGTTTCCTGTCCACAAGATACCTATCTATCATTATAGTTTCCGGTCCACAGGATACCTATCTATCATTATAGTTTCCTGTCCACAAGATACCTATCTATCATTATAGTTTCCTGTCCACAAGATACCTATCTATCATTATAGTTTCCTGTCCACAAGATACCTATCTATCATTATAGTTTCCTGTCCACAAGATACCTATCTATCATTATAGTTTCCGGTCCACAAGATACCTATCTATCATTATAGTTTCCTGTCCACAAGATACATATATTTATCATTATAGTTTCCTCTCCACAAGATACATATGTATGATTGTCGTCATCAGCTGGGGACTGTTTGCCTACCTGTCGTCATAGTCTCCTGGATCCATGACAACGTCTCAAGGATTCACTCTACGCACGTCACTGAAACAAGCAACAGAATCATCTAAGGTTGGAGTTTATTGGAGCCATCACAGCAGGCGCAGTACCTCAGAGTTCCAACAGTTGAACAATGCTCAGACCTGACTGCGATACTTTAACCATACAGAACCAGGACTGCGATAGTTTAACCATACAGAACCAGGACTGCGATAGTTTAACCATACTGCAGTATGACTGTAATAGTTAAACTATACTGAGATATAACTGCAATAGTTCAACCACACTGAGGTATGACTGCAATAGTTTAACCACACTGCAGTATGGCTATAATTGTTAAACCACACAGAGGTTTGACTGCAATAGTTAAACCATAATGCAGAATGACCGGGCAAAAGAAACGTATCACATTGTTCAGTAGCTCCATAAAACGAAACAAAGACAGGTGTTAACCATATGATGATTATGTAATGAACAGAATTATTTTTCGAGGTCCGTACAAAATTGCAATGCCATATCGATTGTGCACTTGCCATAAGGCCGAGCGAAAGAGACATGCGGTCAAAATAACAATTACATTAACACGAGTCAAACAGAGTACACTCAAAAGGCGCTCATAAAGTCAAATCATGCGACAAGACATGTCCTTAGTACCGTGTATGACCACCCCCTGCATCAATGCACGCCAAAATACGTCTCCTCGTGGCTGTCGTCAGTCACTTATCCTATAAAACCTGTTCAAGCTGCTGTCTGTTTGCCGGAGGAGGTACGCGGTGTCTTAGCTGTCGATAAAGATGATCCCAGTGATGCTTTATAGGATTCATGCTTTGCTTGCCAAGGCAATATGTTAACGTTAACGTTGTGCCGATATTGGCGGCGGCATGAGGTGCATTGTCCTGCTGCAAAAGAGAAACCCCTTGTCTGTGCACGTAAGAATGGCACTACAACAGGTCGCAAAACTTCATCTCTGTATCAGATTCCCACGGATGATGACACACCTTGTTGTCCATGGACCACAAATAACGCCCCATACCATGACGCCGCCTCCACCATAAGGGTGCACATCTTGGATGCAGTTATCAGCCAGTCGCTCTCCCCTACGTCGATAACCACGGACTCGGCCATCACTTCGGAACAAGGTAAAGCGACTTTCATCACCCTTTCCCAATCACGCCGCTCCCAACGATGTACAGTTCGTGCCCACTGTAATCTGCGTTGACGGTGTAGAGGGGTCAAGGCCATTCCACGGAAGGGGCGGTAGGCTCTGATACCAGCCATGCGGGGTCGTCGTAATGGGGTGTCCCCTTGCCGTCGAGGCCATGGACGTTGCCGTCACGTATCGGTTCTGCAGGTGGCTTCTCCGGATGTAGCGGTCATCACAGGGCGTTGAGACCCCTGGTCTTCCCGTGCTTGGACGGTCTTGTGTCTGGCCTGTTTGCTGATAACGGCTCAACAAGTTGCTGATACTGGTTTGACTGCAGTCAAAGGTTCTTGCAATGTGGCTTTGAGAGGCCACAATATCGGCCATACCAATAGCTCTGTCACGTTCCTCTTGTGTGAGTCTCGGCATCACCAGCACGTATGTAGAGTAAGCATCACTACGCAACACCAGCATGTGTGTAGAGTAAGCATCGCCAAGCCACACCAGCACGTGTGTAGAGTAAGCATCACCAAGGCACACCAGCACGTGTGTAGAGAAAGCATCACAACACCACACCAGCACGTGTGTAGAGTAAGCATCACCAAGGCACACCAGCACGTGTGTAGAGTAAGTATCACTACGCCACACCAGCACGTGTGTAGAGTAAGCATCACCAAGCCGCACCAGCACGTGTGTAGAGTACACCAGCACGTGTGTAGAGAAAGCATCACCAAGCCACACTAGCACGTGTATAGACTAAGCATCACAACGCCACAACAGCACGTGTGTAGAGTAAGCATCACCAAGCCGCATCAGCACGTGTGTAGAGAAAGCATCACCACGCTACACCAGCACGTGTATAGACTAAGCATCACAACGCCACAACAGCACGTGTGTAGAGTAAGCATCACCAAGCCGCATCAGCACGTGTGTAGAGAAAGCATCACCACGCTACACCAGCACGTGTGTAGAGAAAGCATCACCACGCCACACCAGCACGTGTGTAGAGTAAGCATCACCAAGCCGCATCAGCACGTGTGTAGAGTAAGCATCACCACGCCGCACCAGCACGTGTGTAGAGAAAGCATCACCACGCCACACCAGCACGTGTGTAGAGTAAGCATCACCACGCCACACCAGCACGTGTGTAGAGAAAGCATCACCACGCCACGCCAGCACGTGTGTACAGTAAGCATCACCAATCGACACCAGCACGTGTGTAGAGTAAGCATCACCAATCGACACCAGCACATGTGTAGAGCAAATATCACCAGCACGTGTGTCTGATATGTTCGGTAATCTGGTCAGACGTATCTGGGGATATGTCCGATAATCTGGTCAGACGTATGTAGGGATATGTCCGGTAATCTGGTCAGACGTATGTAGGGATATGTCCGGTAATCTGGTCAGACGTATGTGGGGATATGTCCGGTAATCTGGTCAGACGTATGTAGGGATATGTCCGGTAATCTGGTCAGACGTATGTAGGGATATGTCCGGTAATCTGGTCAGACGTATGTAGGGATATGTCCGGTAATCTGGTCAGACGTATGTGGGGATATGTCCGGTAATCTGGTCAGACGTATGTAGGGATATGTCCGGTAATCTGGTCAGACGTATGTAGGGATATGTCCGGTAATCTGGTCAGACGTATGTAGGGATATGTCCGGTAATCTGGTCAGACGTATGTAGGGATATGTCCGGTAATCTGGTCAGACGTATGTAGGGATATGTCCGGTAATCTGGTCAGACGTATGTGGGGATATGTCCGGTAATCTGGTCAGACGTATGTAGGGATATGTCCGGTAATCTGGTCAGACGTATGTGGGGATATGTCCGGTAATCTGGTCAGACGTATGTAGGGATATGTCCGGTAATCTGGTCAGACGTATGTAGGGATATGTCCGGTTATCTGGTCAGACGTATGTGGAGATATGTTCGGTAATCTGGTCAGACGTATGTGGAGATATGTCCGGTAATCTGGTCAGACGTATGTGGGGATATGTCCGGTAATCTGGTCAGACGTATGTGGGGATATGTCCGGTAATCTGGTCAGACGTATGTGGGGATATGTCCGGTAATCTGGTCAGACGTATGTGGGGATATGTCCGGTAATCTGGTCAGACGTATGTGGGGATATGTCCGGTAATCTGGTCAGACGTATGTGGGGATATGTCCGGTAATCTGGTCAGACGTATGTGGGGATGCGTCCCCTCTGACTGAGTATATTCATATCGTGCACGTTCATAATATCGTTATTTTATGTGTGCTTCGGTTGGTTTTGCGGATATTTTCTTTGCGAGAACAACTAAATGCTGTAGTCTATATATAGTATAGTCAAGGGCTATACAAGAGGATAAGAGATGGTTGGTGGGGGGAGGGGGGAGAGGGAGGGTGGCACCCGACATTGGCTTCAAACGCTGGGCAACCAAACCCAGGCCTGACGAGCGGGCCGCCGCTCTGCTTCTTCAGGAGAGAAGTTATAAATAGGTGAAGAAACATTCGGACTGATAATGGGGCGTGACGATATTTAAGATCACTCTCTTTCCACACAGTAGTAGCACAGTATATGGAATATTATTGATTACTCAGGTTTACAAACTTCGACAAATAGAAGATGTTGATCTGAGCTACATTATGTACTCGCCCACCTCACACACCCTCTCATCCCCTCACCCCCTAACAGACTTACACCACCCTCTCACACCCCCTCAAACACTCCACCACCCTCACACACCACTCCTCACCCCTCACCCCCTAACATACTTTCAACACCCTCTCACACCCCCTCAAACACTCCACCACCCTCACACACCCTCTCATCCCCTCACCCCTAACAGACTTACACCACCCTCTCACAACCCGCCAAACACTCCATCACCCTCACACCACCCTCTCACACACCCTCAAACACTCCTCGACCCTCACACCCCGACAGACTTACACCACCCTCACACCCCATCAAACACTCCACCACCCTCACACCACCCTCTCACCCCCCCCCCCCCCCCTCAAACACTCCACCACCCTCACACACCACTCCTCACCCCTCACACCCCAACACACTTGCACCACCCTCTCACACCCCCGAAACACTACACCACCCTCTCACAACCCCTCAAACACCCAACAGTCTTACACCACCCTCTCATACCCCAACAGACTTACACCACCCTCTCACAGCCCAACAGACTTACACCACCTTCTCACACACCCTTAAACATTCCGCCACCCTCACACACCCTCACACAAACCCAACACCCTCACTACAACCTAACACACCCTCGAACAACCCCCAACCCCTCACACAAACCCTTCACTACAACCTCGCAGACCCTCACACCACACCACACCCACTCACACCCCCTTACACGCCGACAGAAAAGGGCAGGGTTAACAGCAGAAAGCGATAGTCTGGACGGCAGAGGGTGGTAGGGTATCCTGTAAAGAGTGATAGTCTGGACGGCAGAGGGTGGTAGGGTATCCTGTAAAGAGTGATAGTCTGGACGGCAGAGGGTGGTAGGGTATCCTGTAAAGAGCGATAGTCTGGACGGCAGAGGGTGGTAGGGTGTCCTGTAAAGAGTGATAGTCTGGACGGCAGAGGGCGGTAGGGTATCCTGTAAAGAGCGATAGTCTGGACGGCAGAGGGTGGTAGGGTGTCCTGTAAAGAGTGATAGTCTGGACGGCAGAGGGTGGTAGGGTATCCTGTAAAGAGTGATAGTCTGGACGGCAGAGGGTGGTAGGGTATCCTGTAAAGAGCGATAGTCTGGACGGCAGAGTGTGGTAGGGTATCCTGTAAAGAGCGATAGTCTGGACGGCAGAGGGCGGTAGGGTATCCTGTAAAGAGTGATAGTCTGGACGGCAGAGGGTGGTAGGGTAACCTGTAAAGAGTGATAGTCTGGAC